ATCCTATTTATGGCTCGGCTGTCGACGCACATCCGCCAACTGCCATCCTTTTTGGGCACTAGCAGGGCTGGCACGGCGCACGAAATCAGGCTAGGTCGGATGAGTTACTTTTGAAAAAGGTCTTTTACCATCCGTTGTAGGTTATCATGCTCGAGGGGCCCCATTCGGTAATGTGGGAGGTTTGGAAAACTCACACCGGGAGTGAGATCGATGCAGTGCTGGATCTCCCTTATTGGGGGTAGCTCCTCTGGTAGTTCATCTGGGGTGTGGTCACTGAATTCCTTCATTAAAGCCCGCACTTCTTGGGATCTGGGATCAAAAGCCGCCTCTGTCCCCTTTGAGACTAGAGCTATGATCACCTTCACGGCTCGGAGGTCTTGCTCAAATGGTTTTTTCAGAGTTGTAAGGAATAGTCGCCCCTTTCAATCACCTTGGGCAACGACTTGCTCGTGAGGGGAAAACGGCATGAGAGCTATCTTCTTGCCAAGCCAAGTGAACTCATAGCAATTTGTCATGCCGTCGTGTTTAGTGTTCACATCAAACTCCCAAGGTCGGCCAAGGAGGATGTGTGATGCATCCATCTCAATGACATCGCAAATGACATTATCTTGGTAATGGCTGTCGATGGATAAGGGAACCTTGCAAATGGTGTCTACCGAAGCTTCGACCCCCTTCTTGATCCACCCAATCTTGTAGGGCTGGGGATGTTTCTCGGTAGGGAGGTTGAGGGTTTTGACTAAAGCCTTTGAAACGAAGTTGTCGCTGCTGCCACTATCAATAATAAAGTCACACACTTTCATGTTGACAGTGCACCGAGTCTAAAAAATAGAATGGCGTTGGTTCGCACTGTGTTGCCTGGGTGACAGCAAAATCCGCTGTACCACGCAAGCGATTCGGTATCCCTCATCTCTGAATACTTGCTCTACCTCTTCGGGTCCTTCCTTAATCGCCTCAATTTCCTCTTTTTCGTTGTCAACGCCCAACTTACTGATGAGGTTGATTAGTTTGTGAAGGGGACACTCATTGGATCGATGTTCTGGCTTGTTACAATGGTAGTACTTCCCTGCTATGGGTCAGGCATAGGGGTTGGTACCCAATTGGACTGAAGGGAGTTGTGGCGAGGCGGGCGCCTTTTGATTTCAACAGGGACCTTCCCGTGAGGTGCCGCTGGAGGACGTTGTGAGGGTTCGTTTGTACCCTCTCGCACCGTCGGGTACTCCCCAGAGCGGCGATACGGTTGAGTTCGATTTCCACTGCGGGACTGCTGAGCTTCGACTTTGTAGGCCAGTGTGATTTCTTCAGTGAGGTTCCAAATAGGCCTCAGCGTGAGCTAATCCTAGATGCTCTCCCTCAACCCTCCGACATACCTAGCGATTTGCTGGTCCTTTGACTCTGGGAGATTGTTGCGGGCGTTCAGTCAATAATACTCTTCGGTGTATTCTCTGATGCTTCGGCCCTGCTGCGAACAGCGTTGGTACTGCCGAAATAAGGTATGCTCAAAGTCATCCGGCAAGAACCGTTGTCGCATCAGTTGTTTCATGAGAACCCACGAGCGAACTGGTGGTCTCCCATCCCTTTCCCTGTTATTGCTAACGGCAATCCACCAGGCGGCAACCTCTTTGGTTAGCTTGGACGCCACAAACTTAGTCTTCTTATCTTCTGGTACAGTTATGTACTCGAAGAAATTGTCTACCTTATGCTCCTAGTCGAGGTAATCCTCAATGTCCAGATGTCCATCAAAGCTAGGTAACTCCAATTTAAATCTAAAATCTGAGTTTCAGTTCCCATTAAAATGAGGGTTTCGCGGTTCATACCTGGTGCCTCGGTTGAGCCACGGATCAAAGTCCTCCTCGAAGTCCGGATCTGGAGGCGCTGGTCGTAGTGACGGAGCCACGACATCTCCCGCTTCTAGCTCTTCAAGCTAGACATTCTGCTCCACGGGTCGTCGGTGTAGACACGGTCCCCTATTCATTGGCGTCGGAGTTCGCGTGACCTCCCGCTCTCGAGTTAGTGGCAGAGCGTCCCTCCGTTGGTTAGGGGTGGCAGCTCCGATGTGGTTGATAACCTGCTAGAGGTTGCGATTGAGAAGTTCGAAGCTAACTTCAAACTTCTGCTCGAGCTTCGAAACGGCAGCCCAGAGAGTTGGGATGTTTCTGTCTTCGTCATCAATCCAGGGAAGGCTGGCCTCGCCGGTGGTCATCATGCCTTGGGAAAGCCTCGACTCTGATACCAAACCTGATGTAGGCGGCAGCTGGGTCTTTTCTGGCTATACCAGATGGGTCGGCCGTGCAAGCCGAGCCCTATTATCCATAGAACAAAGTAATAGCAAAACTTCAATTGGCTCAACAAATTAAGGTAAAATTCATTAAGTTCAAATACGTATGACAATTAGCTATATATAGCTGGGATTACAACATAAGAAAATGACTTGCTGGGCGGACAATGACAAGAAAAATGAAGAGTGACTAAACAACGGAAGCTTAAGTGACTAAACGACAATAGGAGTGCCTAAACGACTAAACAACGATAGGAGCCCCTGCATCATTTTTCTTTACTTTGATATTTAGATCTATTAAACAACAAATTATTTTAGGAGCCCCTTGATTTTAGGCTGTAGCTTAATTTCTGATCCTTTAGAGTCTGTTTGGTAGTGTTTTCAAATTATTTTTATTTTTAGTATGCAAATAAAAATGCGACTCCTTAAAAATATGAAAATAAGAGTTTTTGAGAATAGTGTTGAGATTGTTTCTGAAATTGTGTTTAGTTAATTTTCTTAATGATTGTTTTAGGTGTAAAAAAGGTGAAATTATCTTTTGGTATATTTTAAAAATCGTGTATTAAATTATAGCTTAAAAATGAGAATGAAAATGGAAAAACTACATTCAACCACTTTCTATTTTCTTAACAAAAATTATTTTCACTGTTTTTATTATCGTTCTTTTTTTTAAAGTATTTACTAACCAAACAAGATTTAGAGACCTTTTAATTTTCTTATCTCAAACGATATGCAGAAACATTTTCAAAACAAGATGAAGACAATTCTAAACATGTCCTTAATTTTTCACTAAATGGCACTAATTTTTTTTTAATGAAGGAAAAGAAGGTCTTGAGCAACTTGTTCTGGCCTTTCTTTTCCTTTTTTTATCTTTTTTTTTTAAATAAGAAAATTTTCTTGATATTCCCTTCCTTTTTTTTTTATCTTTATTCTTAAATAAGAAAATTTTCTTGATATTTATCTGTGCAATATGGAAAATTTGTATATTCCATTTCTATTTACTTGTATTTCCCTTTGGCATTGGTCAAAACTATTTAATTCATTTTCGATATTTTGTAAAATACTTTTTTTTTTGTTTCTTACTTCAGTTAATGGACTTTGCTTCTAAAGAAATTATGTGTTTTAACGCAAAATTAAATTTACAAAGTTATTTCTCATGTGAGACATGATTCAACTAGTATTAATAAAAGCATCGAAGAGAGAGGCATAACATTTTTCGTTTTTTTTTTTTTCCTTTTTTTTGCTCAAGAACATTTTCGTACTCATTAGCATGTCTTTTGCAACTGAGTAAGCTCTTTTTTAAGACCAACAAAAAAAAGTAAGCTCTTTTAAAAATATCTTTTGTTTTTCTTTGAAAATTATATGTATGATAATAAATGAAAAATAGGGAATTGAAAAAGCCGTCACACAAATTAAATTGTCAAAAACTCGAAATATCTTCAAAATATGAGTTTTCAACGGTAAGGATACATATTAGTGATCTGATTAAAATTACATTAAAATAATATATTTATATAAAATTATATTAAAACAATATATATATATATAAAGATATTTAATTGAGAGAATTTATTGAAAACAAATTTCACCACGGAATTCTCAATCAAAATATAATAAACTTTTTCAGGAAAAAAATATAATAAAAAAGTTGTTGATCTAACTTTTTATTTTTGAACTTTAATTTTGATTCAAGGTATTGATATTAATTTATTTTTTATTTGAATCTCACGTCATTATTAGAAAGAAAAAAAAAGAAAAAGAAAAAGAAAAAGGCAAGTTGAAAAGTAGAGAAGTAAAATATAAGAAATATACCAAAGCATGACCCCAGAAGCAACAGAGAGCTTGACAAAATCCCAGAGGCCAACAAAGGCTTGCACAGAGAAACCAGTCCAAGTGAGGGGGCACCAACCACAGGAAGTGTAAACAAACAATCCCAAAACCATGAACCACCATGAGATGTCCAAAGCAATTGCTGCACCGACGACACCGAAATCAAAAACATAAACCAACAGCCAACTTGTCAAGGCATTTACCGCCAGCCCCATTAGGGAAACCCATGCAATGATCTGGTTCTGGAGCTGGAACTGCAAGAATCTCTGCAGCGGAAAATGGAACGCGAAGCTGAAGTGCAAAGGGATCAGCCACAGCGCCACCAAGCCCGACTGCTCCGACACGGCGTCGGATTGCCCGAGCAGTTTTAGAACTGGAGTTGTGAAGATGTAAAATGGCAACGTGAGGAAGCAACAGAGGAACAACACAATCCATGATCTCTGGAGGTAAATTCCCAGCATGTGGTACCTTTTGGCGCCAAAAGCTTGTCCACACAGCGTCTCTAGCGCGCTTACCATTCCTAACTGGATCATTCAAGAAGAAGAATGGAAAAACTAAACATATCAGTATTTTTAAAGCTAAACCAATCATTAATTTATATACATATACATATCAATTATAATAATTATTATTTGGAAGTTAAAGTTAAAAAAACATGAATGAAATACTGAACATATCAGTATTTCTAATTCTTAACGCACTGATCACAAAGTTCACATGACAAGTTCATGTGTTAGTTATTACCAGGAGGCCGAAGTTGAAGCCGACGATGACAGTGTTGGCAATAGAAATCGAAGCAAGCTCGACTTCACTGAGGTGGCCGGCGAAGGCTTGGGTGATGATGTTCATCGAGTAGGAAGCGACGCGGCTGAAGATGGCGGGACCGACGACGTGCCATAGCTTCTTAGACTCGATGCAGAGCCTGGACGAGAAGTCTTGGCCTCCGTTGTCTTCTTTGGTCGATGATTCTGCTATGAGGGCTTGGTTGAGATCCCCATCCTCGTTCCTGTTGGAGCTTCCCATTAGCAAGTAGTTCTAATGGCCCAAGAGATCACTAGTACTATGGAAGAGATTTATAATATGAGACTTGGAATTGTGTGTTTGAGAATTAGGTGGATATTTCTACTTTATACGACATCTGGAAGGGCATCTCATATTATCATTTTATTTCGTAGTACTTGTGTTTACCAGTTATATATGATATGTGATAACTTTATAAAATAGAGTTATTTTTATTTTTATTTATGTCTACAGGACTTGATATTATATTGATTATTATTTTTATTGATTTTAAATCAGAGAAATATTTTTTTAAATTTTAGGATAGTGCTGTTGTTCCACTATCTGAAATAGATATATCACATGTATAAATTTTGAATTTAACTTCATTCATATTAAGCTTCACATAAAAATAATAATAATATCATAAAAATTTCTTAAATTTTAAGAAAATACATTACATAGCAGTTTATATAAAGAAGTAAAACATACACAGAACAAATTAAATGCAAAAAGAAAATGCAATGTTAGTTATCATTAATGGTCAATTTATTTCATTTTATATTGATTTTATTTAGTTTTCTCTCCTAATAAATGTTTTAATCCTTATTTGTTTTTGAATTAGGTGAAAAAGGACAAGAGGGAGCCTAAATGGGATTTCAAATCAGAAAAAAAAGGGGGAGAAAGTCAAAAGGAAGTCTGAATCAAAGGCCACCCTCCTCTTTAGGGATTTCACTCTCCACCGTTTTTTGTGCGCACCGTCTCATATAGCCTCTCCCGTATCGCCACATCGTCAACTCTTTCTCTCCGCCCAACTTTTCGAGCTGATCAGAAGGTTGTTTCACTTTTCATTATCTCTCTTTGCGGCGAATTCAAAGCATTTGGACGCCCTCAGGCACAATATATGAAGGGCAAGACTCAACATTCAATAGTACCAAAATAAACAAAAAGCCCTATTGGAGAGCTGATAGAAAAAAAATATCTGAGAACATTATTTTAGGGATTTGGGGTCACTTTTTAGCTGGGTTTTTTATTTAAGGCTTTTATTTAAGAGGAGAAGGTATTTTTGAGGCTATAAGGGGGAGGAGAGAAAATTTAGAAGAAAAAGCTTGAAGACTTATGATACCTCTAATCGGTTTTATTTTCTAATTTTCTAATTTTTTATTTTTATTCTTTAATTATGTCTGAACCAATTTAGTTTATTTTTATGAAATTACAATGTAGCCGGATTATGATTCTTTGAATTTTTTCTTATTTTTAATTAGTTATTTCCTAATTATGCTGAGTGTTTCATTCTGTGTTTAATGCTTGTGATTATCTTATTAACAATTGAATGATTTGGTACTTAGTTTGAGACCAAGAGGTCATGATTAAATATGCCCTTGTTTGGAATGCCATAGGAATGTTATAAGTTAGAGATAATTATGATGTCTCATACAGTGCTAAAATTTCCCGTGCTGCACGTTAAAATCTTAATAGAGATGTAGTATCTGCATGTATGAGATATTATTATTGATGCTTGAGAAAAATTAATGATTAATTTAGAGAAATTCACATCAGCATAAGGAATAAACATAATTAATTTAAATAAAAATTTTCAGATACGGTTCGTTTTAGTGAGTCATAGACCTGAATAATAGTTAATTGTTTTATTCTTGTTATTTTGATCTTTTTATTTCACTAGTTTGATTTTAGTTATTCGGTTAACCAATTTTGATACTTAATTTATGGTCATGGAATCATCGCTCTATTGTCACTTTATTACATGTTGAGATTTCCACAACAATATGTTGTTGGGGTCTGCCCCAGATCTAGGCGAGACCAAATGAATGTGCAAGGCCCAAATGCTTTAATTAAACAAAAAGAAAAGGAAGGAAGCTTGCTTGCAAAGCAACGCCATTTGACAGTCGAAGTTGAAAAAAAAAAAGAACAAAAAAAGAAGAAAATTACAAGGGTCTGTCGTGGTAGGTAAGGAAAACCAAAGAAAAAGAAAGGAAACATGATAATTTTCATAAATATCTTTTAAAAACGTGTAAATTATATTTTTTATTTTTGATTCATAATTTTTTTAGTTAAATAATTACACTAATAAAAAAATATTTATTAAGTGTAAAAAATAAATGTCCATACTTATATATTTTTAAGAGTAAATTCTCCATTTTTTCCCTTTTAAAAAAAAAAAAAAAAAAAAAAAAACGAGAGCGAAAAGAGTGAAAAACAAGCCCGCTTAAGAACCCTTGGGGCCTTAGAGCAAAAAGTTTTGAAGGGGCCATTTTATAAATTTAAGAAAAACAATTAAATCTTTAAGATACACTTACAAAATTAAAAATTAAATTAAATCTTTTTAAAAACTTATTTTTGTTTGTATTTTTTAGAAGCAATGTTAATAATTAAATTTAGTTTTGGTTTTATTTTCACTAACAATTTCTATGACTGAAATCATAAAATAAACAAATTTATTTGTCTATAATTTTCAAAATCAGAAATAAGACATTTTAATTAAAGGTTTTTTTCCCTCTTTCTGTAGGTTTTGAAATAAATATATTTAATAAATATCTTTTTATAATTAAACTTATAAAAAAGCACTCTAAATTTCTCCCTAAACAAAAAGTGATATTAATAATTGTTGGAAAAGCTGTTTGGATTAATAAGCCTTTAATAGTTTTTGAGCTTTAAGATTGATAATGCCTAATAAATAGATCTTATTATTTCTCTAAGTTCCAACGTCCACAACTGTTTCCACAACTGTTGTGGCTCTCCAAAAATTACTGGTGCTTTATAAATATATATATATATATATATATATGTAGGTTTAGTAAATTGAGCATTAATTCATAAGCATTAACCAATTATTAATTTGAATGAAAAAAATAAAGAAGAAAAAATTTAATTGGGGCCTTGAATCAAATGAAGCCTTAAGCAAGTGCTTAACTTGCCTTAAGGTAAGGCCGGCACTGTTTCCGGTTAGGAAGTGTTCTCAAGGATGAACGTAATCTCCTTCGTGGTTCCAACATTAGATTTAAGACGTAACCAGTGGTCCAATAGATCATTCATTACAAAGTCTTCTTATCAGCTTTTGAAAAAAAAATAATGTTTACCAGGCTCTTGGACGAAACTGGAGATTTTCCTATTTTTTTCCATTTCTTTTTTCATAATCAATTATTTGACAAACATTTTAATGAATGAACAAATCATCAATCCACATAATTTGAAAGAAAAACTTCACTCTGGTTCGACTGTGAGCTCTCATTCTTGACTGGAAGGCGACATCTTGTTTATATTTATCTGAGCTTTCAGAGCCTGCAAATGAAATTCCAAACACAAAAATTGTTGGTCTCCGAATCGAATTCGGATGCAGAAGCGTGAGAGGAGGCGGATCGTGTATAACAAAAATTTCATAAAACCCTTGAGACACTCTATAGATTATATTAATTTATGCACGAATAAATTAATCTTATTAATTCATTTATTAAGAACTCAATTAGGAAAAATACCTGGAGGTCGACTCGGATGATAACTTGAGTTCTTTGACCTCGAACAATCCTTGCTCTAAAGTTTTGTGTTTAGAAAATTAATGTCTTTCACGTCAATTATTAGAATCCATGAAGACGTGTGTGTGGACATACATGAGACAAAACGAGTTACAATAAACACTCGAATTTCTACAAATACCAACACATGCATGATGTGGAATTTTTGGAGAAAATTTTTTTCTTTCCCTCACTCTAAGAGAATTTCGGCTAGCCTCTGTAATTAGGGCAAAAAATTCTTTCAAAAATTATCTCAAAAATTGTGTCCACAATTTTCTACTATTATCTTATTTATAGAGTAAAAGTCAAATTTCAAGAAGGAATCCAATCTCTATCTCCAAGATAAAGCTTGTTAATTATCTCCTATTTGAATTTGAAACAAAATCTCTCATTCCCTTATCCTTAAGTGTGGCCGGCCAAGATAGGGGATTCTCATCCCTGTGTGGCGCCAATTTCAGATAGGGAAGGAAGAGAAAATCATCCTTTATCTTGTAGTCCAATTTTGACTCAAATTCAAATTTCAATTTAAGTCAAACATAAATTAATTTGAATTCTAAATTGAACAACTTATCAAATAAGTTTAAATGGATAAATCTAGATGTGTTCAAATTCAAATTTAAATAATCACATTATTTAAATAATAATTAATTCTCAATTAATTATTTTCGAGTGTTTAA